ACTCTTTCCTGCCTAGGGCAGAGGGTCAGACTAGATGATCTGTTGAGGTCCCTTCTGGCCCTAACATCTGTGAACCTATGAATAAGCTCCAGAGTTTATTCATGTGCAGCACATGGAACTAGGTTGGAGCAGCTCTGGCTGGCAGGGGGGCCCAGAGGCTCAGTGTGCTGTGGAGGGGCTGGTTGGGGCATGAGGGAGCTTCATTCTGGGGCTAGCTGGCAGGAAGCATCTGCAATGAAGCACCCTCGTGCTGCCACCAGCTCCTCCAGCGCCTACACGTGCACTGCTGCAGACTTTTTTACTCCAGAGCAGAATAGTACAAGTACTAATTTACTCCAGCCTAGCTGGGGCACGTGTAGATGCTGAGATGTTTACTGTACAGCCTAGTCAACTGTGCAGTAAACATCTCGTGTAGATGCACCCGCTGTTGTGTAAATGATATAAATTACTTGCACTGAAGTATAAACACATTTTATGCCAAGCCAAAGCTTAGATTACATCAATCAAAGGAGGAATATTTTAAAATCTTGCAAACCTTATGGAAGGATTTTCAAAGGAAGCAAAGGGGGGGGGGGTTAAGTGCCCAAATTTTAGCCTTAGAAGAAAAGGAATAGAAATGTGGTTCTCAACTTCTTTAGACTCAAGGCACCCCTTGAAAAATGCCAGCTCTTAATTTTCTCTTGTTTTTTGACTACACAAAAACAACAGCAATTATTCTATTGCAAAGAATGCAGTAAGACCACAAGGCAGAAAGTTTTTAACACTGGATTCCCAATTGAAATCTCTGGGTTTATAATGTGAATCATGTTTGCACACCTAACAGTGCTAACATAGCTTGGCATGCCATGTACTTTTGAAAGTATCTCAAAGCAGTCCAGGGTGCTATGGCACGCTGGTTGTGAATCACTGGAATAGGATGATAAACACTAGCACTTTGGTAAAGAGAAAAGTTCAATAGTATAAGCAGCTTTTTTTCAGTGTTTTTATAATTATAGATGTTCCAGACAAATTTTAGCAGAATGCTATTACCAGTGTCCCTGAACTTGCTTTAAGCTGAAAAAGTTGCTGTGCGCTCAATATAGTATTCTCCACACACTTGTAAAAGGTGTTTATGTTGCTGAAAAGGGGAAAAAATAGTAAACAACATAGTACTCTTCTTGCCATTACAATGCATGTAAAAACAGCACCTTGCCATTACAATGCATGTAAAATGTTGCTGCTGCTTACCATTTGATGTCATTTTTGCATGATTGACCATAGTAATTGATAGTAACTGCTATAAGAAAGGAATTGATATCCCTTAAAGCAGCTGCATTTCAGTGTGGCAGTTGTAATTATCATTAACTTTTTAATGCTCTTACCTGCAGAATCTTTTTACTATAACATAGGTGGAAGCATCTGACTGGAACAGTTTAACATAATTTTAAGAGCTGAAACATTGTTTTGACCATTGCGATTCAAAATTCTGTAGAAAGGGTATTAAAGTTCCTCCCTCCTTCCCTTCCACCAGCCATATGCTTACTCTTTGGTGCTAGTCTTCTGAGCTAGGATTTGGGGCTAGCCATAAAAGGCCAAGTTCTGCCTTTGCATGCATGGAGGGAGGAGGGAAGAGATGAGCATTTACCCCTCTCTCACTGCTTAGAGTGTCTGTAGAAGGTCACAGTTAGGAGAAGATGAAGAATATGCTTCTTCCCCCAAAATGTACTTTCCCTCAAAGAGGTGGCAGAATTTCTTGGTTTTAAATTGGTGGAGCTGAATATAGTATAGTGCATAATGTGTATTTTTTGTTCTACATATATAATATCCTGTTGACCAGTTGGGAGTCAGAGAAGAACCAGGGGATGGTGTCCAGGACTACGAGTGTATAGGAGGATACTTTATTTTTTCGTTATATCCCTCCATGCCCTGTTTACTTCATGGGGAATATTATCACTGGAAGAAAATACACATGCTGCTTTACATGTGTGTCAATAATATTCTTTTTAATTTTAGGTAGAGCAAGTGGGTAAGAGGTGTAGGTTGAGAAGCAGTTATGCTTCCTCTGGTGAATAAACGCAGTCCCTGACTGGAGCAGATGGTGGGTGTGCATTTCAATACTATTTTGGGTAGAAGGTAGGGCAGGGTGGAATTTTGAGACTAACTAGCTCATAGCAGCAGCCTGTTTTGTCAGGTGGAATTTTCAGCTCGACTTCATCCTTATAATGGATCCTTACAAATCCTTGGATATGAAGCCTCTAAAGTTAATCCATACCTGTATTCATATTTTGTGACACCAGCCTGGCTGATATATTTATTGATCCTTGACATTTATAACTATTAATGTGTAAAGTTCTGTCTTGTTCTGGAGCTGGTGTTTCAGAAAGAGTTTAGTATTTGCTGGGGGTTGTATAATTGGCTTATATTCTTTTACCCAGAAATTATGTTTTGTCTTTTGCTCTATAAAATGTCAATGAAAGGTCTGGATGAAATGAGCCATTGCTCACATCTAAGATAGTTTCATTTACTCTAATTTCTGATAGGGTAAGTAACTGGGGTAAATCATCCTTATGTCAAAGTTTACATAAATTAACACCATGAAAGAGGAAATCCTGTAGTGCACCAGCTCTTACCAGGACTTTTAACATATCAGGGGAAGGCATGGGCCAGGTCCGCCATGGAAACTATAAGCCCCCTTTAGTATTGGGGGCCAAAAATGATGTGTTACAGATTTCTCTGAATAAATAATAATGAAAACAGGGACAGCAGTGGAGGTCAAAGGTTCATAATAAGAGTGGCAAGGGGAGACACTGAGCAGAGCAGAGCAGACCAGCTCTTACCAGGCTTCTTGGAAAACTGCATTATTAATGAGGATATAACTATTGATGAGCATAAAACAGAAATTTGCTGGGAAATTAATATTCTTAATTCTTTCTGTATGAGTTGTTTTGTTTAAGAAGATATTTATATCTTCTTAAACAATTAGAATGTATACTAGATTTTGGTTTAGGTTCTTTTTTTCCTTTAGTGTAAATTAATTTTACACAAATTAAAAGCACAAACAACAGACTTAACAGCAGACTTAGCAGTGTTTAACCATTCACATATTGATAACTGGTAATGCATTACCAATTGAAGGGCAAGCAGGAGGGATGGAGAGGCAGCAGGAGGGCAAGCAGGAGGGATGCAGGGAGCAGTGAGGAAGAGGGGAAGGGGGAAAGGGAAACTAGTACCTAGTATAGTGTGGAAGTGGCAGAGGACCCTTGAGGCAGCACAACCCTGGCCCCTTCCTCGCTGTCTACCCCAAGGTGTGCATGCACTCACTGGTGGCAGTGAGCCGGGCTGAGGCTCTGCAGACCCAGATGCAACCGCTTGCAGCCACCTCCACAGAGCCCAGGTTGCTCACGGCACACAGTGGGGAGGCTGCAAGCAGCTGTACTGGGGTCTAAGGAGCCCTGGCCTGGCTCGTTGCTAGCAGTGGGTGTTTTGGGGCGGATGGTGGGGAAGGGGCAAGAGTTGTGCTGCCCCAAGAAGGACTAGACCTCTTGCAGCTCCCCCACCATCTGCCATGAGGCATCTATGCACCTGCTGCTGGCAATGGGTTGGGTTGGGGCTCTGTGGGTCCAAGTGCAGCCACTTGTGGCAGCAGCGGGTGAGGGGCTTTCCCAGCCCACTGCTGCTGCCCATGGCTTCACAGGGATTGTGGCGGGGCTCAATGCTGCTGCTTGTAGCTGGCCCTGGATCCCTGGGTAGCTGTGTGCCAGTGGCAGCAGGAGGTGAGGGGCTTTCCCAGCCTGATGCAGCTGCTGGAGAATCCCAGGTAGATGCATGTTATCAGTTAACTGTTTAACTGCTACAATGAAGCATATATTTTGTTTCTGAACCATAGTATGTTGAAGCTGCTACCTTTGTATTTTATAGGCTAATGGAAGTTTTGCTAAAAGGTTTCTAGAAACCCCAGTTTGCATGGGAATAACACCTCTGTTTTGGATACTGGATTAAGAATTAGAATTTTTCACCTTTTAGTCACTGAGTCAGTCACAGTTCAGATAGTTGATAGCTTCTGGATACTATTAAACTTCCACAGTCTTCTAGAGCAAGTGCTGGCAACTTGTCGCCCCTGGGCCAGATCTGGCCCATGAAACCTTTGGATCCAGCCTGCAGCTGCAAATGCTGTGCTTAGGTCTGCATTTTAATGGCAAATGAGACAAAAATTGTAAGACCCTCTTCGGCAGCAGCGGGCTTTCTCTGTGGTCATGCTCCTTGTGTTGCTGTGGGGAAAAGTGGTGGCAGCATCCAGATCCTAGTGTCCACCCACCCACTTTCCTGCCCCTGATACAAGGTGGGTCATTCTGGCCTGCAGCTGGGAAAGGTTGCCTATCCCTGTTTTATAGTAGGTGATGAGTTAGTGGTCTGACTTGGTGCTAGAGAACAGGTATTTGACATCTGAGAAATTACTTTTATGATTGGGATTGGGCAGAGAAGGCAGGAAAAATTGTGGTCATGAGGAAGGAATGATTCTCTCATTTGACAGGATTCCTTCTAGTTTGCTGTTGGTGCACGTTGACTGGCTCATGGGGAACCTTGCACTGCCTTTGCCTGTTCTGTGGATTAAGGTTTATCTCTAGTTGTATCAGTTTGGCACCTTCCACAAGGAATAAAATTGCTTCAAAGGCATGCCAGCCAAAGTAAATATTTATAGAAGGAATAATAGCATCATTGTATTGCCCATCTAGTGTCATAATGGATAAGAGAAAGTCTAGCTGCTGCTGTTACTTTTACTGTAGATGTTTAACTATTTTAAGACTTCTGAAAGCACTAGAATATGCTTTCACACCTAGGGATGAGGATGGCCACAGGACTGTCACCAAACCTCCTGAAATTATATTTTTACCTGCCATGTGATGTAGGTTTAATTAAGCACTTTTAGGTTGTTTACCGCTTATATTTCAAATGCTATTTAAAGCTGTTTGTTTTCCTTTCTGTGCTTTAAATCCTGGAATGCCATCTGAAATACAACTTGATGATTCTGTATTATTATCTTGGGTTAAGTGCTGTCTCATTGCTTTGCAGGCCGCCTGCTGTTTCCCGTGGAGATCATGAAACGAGGTCGGCTTCCTAGCAGCAGTGAGGATTCTGATGACAATGGCAGTAAGTGCTCCTTTATTGTAGAGTGCAATAGGTTATGAGTTGGTTGAAAACGTGTTTAATGTAATACTCTACATGATAGAGGCATTTTGCATTTCAGGTGGGCCATAGAAAAATGGGGGGAGAATAGAAACCTTAAGAAGCTGTTCTTAAAATCAAACACTTCCAGTGTAGGTGAACCGTGGATTAGAGAATCCCCAAGGACTCACTATTGATTATACAGTGTTTGATGATGTAAAACAAGAAAGAAAGATGTCTCTTTGCTGCAAGCAATATAATTTATTGTTATGAGAGCAGTATTTGCAGAAAGTCATTTGTTAACATTGTCAACTACTCGACATTTAATAGAGAAAGAGAAGATTGATCTAGGGCTTTAAAGTTATTTCAGTTATTTCTTGTGTGCCTTGTAAAAAGGATAGGGTATAGTGCGTCAGGCTTGATGAGAATAACTGTGTTTTAGAGTTCGGACAGTGCCATCATTTGATGTATAATAAAGTTTTATTATTTTATTTCTGTTGTTAATGGTATTTGAGGACTAAGCTGCATTCATTTGCTGCTAGGGGTGTCTTTATTCTTGGTATAATTAACTTGAGCTACATTAAATATATCTCTTGTGTTTAGATTTCATTTTTTAAAATGACAGGCAAGATAGGAGCGGTGGTGGGAATTGTGCTAAGATGCTTCACTTGCCCAAACAAGCAAGTTGCTCATATTCTCCATCTGTGTAATCCATACAGTTGTAAGAGACAGTCTCTTGGTTCTGATCTGATCTACATTAATGCAAATATTTTGGTTTGAAAGGTATTACTTAAATTGAAAGTGTTACTGGGACAAACCTTGTTAGTGCTTAATACAAACCCCAGGTCAAAGATATTGGGAGGCTTTGCATTTACTTCTGAGGCTTTGAATCAGGGTGTCAGTCCCAGATGGTGTTATTTGATCTCAGTTGGTGGATTCCTTCATTGCTGTCTGCAGAGTCCCAGTGGCTTTAGTTGGGCTGGAACTTATAGCAGTGCCTGCACCTTACCCCTTACTTAGCATGCCCTTCTTTAGGGACAGTGCCATTGAATTACATGAATACAGAAAGGAGCAGAGGCGGCAGAATTAATGGCTTTACTGGGAATTTGCCTGAGGCTTGAGTAAAAGACTTTAAGAACCTTTAACATTTGCCCCATTATTTGAGCAGGGCGAATCCTGAGGAATTGAAAATTTTGAAAAATCTACTTTGGTCAGATTATTAACGGCTGTTGTTACCTCGCTTTCCAGAGTGAGATCCAGTTTCATTTTGTTAGTGATAACTTTGACCAACTTTGGGGTTTTACAAAAAATGTTGCTAATGTAAATTTGATTCCGTTTCCCCCAAAGATGAATAAAAGATGAGTATGCATGTTTTTAGTTGTGAAACTGGTGCCCTGTGTAACTCCCCAAAGTTTTCCTTATCCTTCTCCAGTGCCCTTTTTTATAATCTCTCTGTGCTGGTGTTTCCTTTTGCTCATATTTTGCTCTATTTTCAGCCTCCTTCATCAACCAGGTTTTATTCTTTGATCCGTTTTTTGTTCCTTCTGTCCCAGACTCTCCTACAAAAGGCAAGAAATAGCTGATCTTTGAGTTGAACTTTCAAATTGTTATAGTTGATTGGGTTTGAAATTAGGAAGACTTGGGAGATTTAAACATCCAGGAGGACAAAGCCTCTTGACAAAGTACAGATGTCCCTTGCTTTATGCTGTACATGCATTCCTGGAAAATGGCACATAACTCGAATTCGCATAAAGGGAACCCACTTTACAATAGTAAAGTATAACAAAAAGGGATACATTCCAAGACCTCGTCTGTATTAACCCCCAGACCTATTTCTACCACTTTTATAAGACAGTTTTGGTACTCATCAACAGCAGACACTACACACAAGCACAGGGTGGTGGTGAATGTTACCATAATGGGGATGGCAACTACAGAAACATGTGTCGCAGGCAACGAGTGAGGAGCACAGATCCATACAGGAGACTATATTTTGGTGCGTGTCACTCCCACAATGCACCGCACAAAGCAGCTGACGCGGGCTTCCACCACACTGGTTGCATAAGAGTGAATTTACCTTGCATATAGCGACTTTTTGGTATAAAAAGGGTCACCGCATAAGAGCGAATTCACACATACAGAACCTGCATAAAGCAAGGGAAACCTGTAGTTCCAAACCTCCTTCCCACATTTGCCACATTTGATTTCTTCCAGGTACACAAGCAATTCTTTGCTGCTAGTCTTGATTTTTGTTTCGCTGTGGGTGGAAGAACCCTCCTTCTATTTGGGAGGCACCATTATGTTCTCTAGGCTGAAATCAGAACCTCCCAGTCGAGAAGGAATCACAATGGTTTGTCTCTGGGACCTTGTGGATCCAGGGACTTCCCAGTACATTCTTGTAAGTTCTGTGTCATAAAGGCCAGGAAATCTAGGATCTAGTGTGTTGCTACAACTGTGTATAATGAACAGTCTTTGACACTCTGGTGACACTCAGACCTTTCCCAGAGTTTTCTATGGTTCTTTTACTAAAGGTAGTAAATAACACAAGCAGTAGGAAGGGATGCAAAATTACAGGTCTCGTCAGGCCTTCAAGCTGACAAATCTGGTGTGTAGCATAAGCTGCGACCATAGATAGTTTCTTTTTCATGTGCGTCACCTTCCCCTCTTGGTTTCTTCTATTTGGTCAGATTATTAATGGCTGTTGTTACCTCACTTTCCAGAGGGAGACCCATTGTATTTATCTATCAGTGATGTCTTTGATCAACTCTGTTAGTAGCGCCTGTAACAACATTAATTTTGCAGATTAGCTCGAGCTTCCCTGTTTGTTAAAGCACAGGTTACAGCACTGTATCTGTATTTATGGCCTCCACACCTTTTTTGTTGAAGTCTTCAAGCTTTTCACTAGCTCTTTTTCCCTTTAGAGATTCTAGAAGCATAAGACAATTAAATATACTATTTTGAGCACTTCAAACAATTGCCTTCTAATTGAAAAATTAAGAGTTTAATCAACACTGAGTTGGAATCCTCTTGTCTAACATCTGCTTCTTATCAGTCATGAGTACCTCTTGACCTCCAGTGAGCTCATTGCATTCTTGCCACACTGAATTCTGCATTGCTACAGCTATAGAGCTTGACATTGCTGTCAGTGAACCAATTTACGTTATTGGGAGCAGGATCGGGCTCCAAAACCCTGAGCTAATTTGTCTTACAGTCATGAGTTTTTCAAGATGCACTTTAACAGGCTTGTATAGCCAGACATCTTGGATTCATCATGAGTTCGATTGCATATAACTTAGAGCTAACTTTGTACTGATGCTTATGTAGTGACTGACACTTAACTAATCCCCTAATGCCCACTCCAGCTGCATTTAAGTTAAAGGAATAAGTTCTTTATTCTATGGAGCATGGAAACCTAAACATTCACAAAATATAGGTAATAATGAATAAAATGTGTTGTTACTTAGAATCCACTGAAATGTGAAGAAAGAGTTTGGGATGTGAATTTTGGTTTATTTTAAAAATCACTGGGCTGTGGAGTGATTATATACATTTGGCTTGATATGCAGAAGTAAGGCTGTGAGTTCAGGTTTTGCATAAATGCCATTCTCATGAAAATGGGGAAACATAATGCTAGTTTCCTGCCTTGTGACATATGTAACCAGAGATGAATATTTGATGGTAAGGGTACTATAACCATGTAGTTACTAAAGAAACTTTTATTCAGTATTCAGTCCAGTAGTTTAATAAAATAATCAAAACAAAACAGCTCATCTGTAGAGCAAGTTTTGCTGTAAACTAGTTTTTAAGAATCAAGAAAAAAGTATCTTTTCTTTGTTGACGGGAGATAGAAGTGAGAATGTGTGCGTCAAGTATTTGAATAAGCAGCTGACTAAGCCTTAACAATATGGCCACAACCCTGGAGAATATTAATGTGTGCAGTTAACTATCTATGCAGTTAATTATCTATTAAATAAAATAATATTTTATGTACCATACAACGTAGTTTAATATAAAGGTCCGAGTCTTCTGTTTTCTGATCCCTACTTCTGACCATCTGATGCGATTCTTTCCAGAAACTACTTTGCAGACTTTCTGTATTAGAAAATGTAGTCCTCATATATGTTGCAAATTACCTTGGGCAAAACTTTCGCATGTGGCAGTCTAAAACCAGATTTCTAAATTTATATTTAGATGCCAAATTAAGATAGACCTGTTACAGAGGGGACCGAAGTTGTTCACAGTGCTTCTGAAAAAATCATTCTTAGATGTCTCAGATTATGCCCTCAGAAATTACAGTGTCTGAAATTCAGTTACATTTGAATACTATATCCATAAAATTTAGTTGAATGTAAAATTGTTACAGGTACACTTGAGTTTGCGATCTTCATTTTGCCCAAGTAACTCCTTCACAATAAGTTGAAGACTTCTTTTAGACTCCTACACACTCAGTAAAAAAATTCTCTGTGCCTCAGACAAAATCCTCTTTTGCCAACTTGGTAGCGTGAATTCCTCTCCAGATAATTTACTGAGACCATAATATATGGTACTGATAGATTTTTCACAGGGATTCTTTTTTATAGGCACTTTAGAGTATATGAGATCTTTGTGAACATCTGTATAAATTAATTTTGTTTACTTCAAATTCAGTTATGACCTCATTACCTATCTTTATGGATATTCATGACTTGCTATTTTGGAGTGATTCTGTTTATGTTGCAGTTCAACTTATTTTCCAGTGCAACAAATTTCCTCTTTCTGATCCCTGGTCTTGTGCTAATTCCATATTATATTTGGAGCCTTCTTATCTTTTCTGCCCAGTGTTTCTCTGCCTTGTTTATCAGCCATGGCAAACTGTGCTGAATACACCACATTTTCCTTCCACATTAGATAGGATATATTGTAGTGTGCCCTTCAGTTGCAGCTTCAGTATGTTTGTCTTTCACAAAGTCACTAAGCACGTGGTTTAAAGATGGTAGCTGCAAGGC